TGCTGGTTTGCTCTTCATGTACTGGAGAAAACGGATGCGCTTTCTAGTCGGATACAGACATTCATCAACTGTGAGGTATACCTCACAGTTGATGAATGTCTGTATCCGACTAGAAATATATTGATCAGGTATTAGTTCCGTGGCGAAATTAGCTTGGCACTTTTCGTAAAACTCGCGAATTGCCGTGAACCGGTCTCTTTTCCAATGCTCTGCTCTATCGTGTCGCATCTCTTTAGTTTCGAATGTTATTTTCGTCGACAGAAAGAAGAATCTGTTCCTGGACATCACCGCAGGAAATGCTGGAAAGTCCATCAGAAAGTGAGTAAATAGTCCGCAGACCGTCAAGGGCAGCTCCTCTCCCCGAAAGTAGATAAGGCCAATGAAAGCACACATCTCAACCTTGTCAGTTATGCTAATGTAGGTGTACTTGTCATTCAGTCATTCATAAGAAGTTCAGGATTAAGTTTTTCCGACGATTCGAGCGTTGGTGTCCTTGACGTTTCAGGTACATTGATGTTATTGTTGTTGTAACCCGTTCAAATAATTTACAACAACACTTGCAGTTGAAGTTAAACATTCAGACGAATTGGAGATATTTTTACTAGCTAACAATGAAACCTTTCAATAGAGGGTCGAAAAGATACATAAACTTTAGGTTGCCATTGGTTCTTCTACTAATTAACATTATTTCAACAATTTCTTGAAACATTTATTCAAATTCGCAGATTTTTCATATCGTTTCTCGTAAACTATAGCTCTATAGATGTTCAAGCGGTCGGTTCAAGTGTGTTGAGTTGAGTGTAAGCTTGATTGGATTAGCCATTGACGTGCATGAAAGGGTGAAGTGCTAGACCCACTATGCCGTTCACTAGGAACCTCAATTCGGTCCCAGAGCTCCTGTATCACGTGATGTGACGCAGTATACCACGTGTTCAGCTCTAATATAGGAAGCAAAATCACTAATAGGCTAGAGAGCAAAAATTGCACTAAAATGAAGCAATTTCGGCATAATTATGCTAATAGCTCTCCGGCCGATTGAAACTTGTTGATAAAAATAATATGGCTGATAGAGGAGATGATGCTGATAAAAGTCATATAAGTCAATATAAAATTGAAATTTATTAAGTAACATTTATTTGTTACTGAACGGGAGGGATGGACGAATCAACCCACCCCCAGTATGATAAGGGTTAAATGTTTATAACATCAACTTCTGCCCACTTTTTACCAGCCCTTTTAGTATGCTTGTGAGATCGTAGAGGGAGCTGATAAACATTTTGGATTCTGTAGAATATGCATTCTATTTAAAGTTAAAAAGTGCAACCTCCAGATTAATTGCTTAAACCCTGAACTGTAGATAATATCGATAGGTCGGTCAGATTTAATCTCGAAGGCCCCTTGACGATACAAAATAGAGATTAATAAGGGCTTTTCAGCTAACACCTTGCCAATCCACTCACTAAATGTAGTAGCTTGAACAGTTTGCATCAAGGGTGACTAGTATGCAGTATTAACACTCGAACTAATGTAGTGAGGACTGAGGAGTAAATTGGATGGTATTCCATTGTTACCGCGGACCGCCCATCGCAGCTTTAAGGCAAGGTGTGATACTCAATGAGCTAACAACGGCTCCTCGGTATAATACAGTTTGCGCAGTGTAAATTGTACATTCTGGCAATTTAATCAAAATCTGTTTGGTCGCGAACCCAGGGTCACATGACTGAGGTACGAGCGGTCACATGACTGAGGTACGAGCGGTTGAGAGGGCAATCACGTGGTTAGGTGAAGACCACGTGAGCCTGGCTATTCAGTCTCGGACGTGTCACTGGATGAGAGGCTGGGATGTGTTTACTGTTGTCAAAATATGGGACCCACATTTCGTAAACATTCCAGGATTGTAGTCGCCTAGGATTGTAGTCGCCTAGCATCTCTCTAAGAGTTGTTTTGCTCATCCTTGATTTGATGATGATAGATAGTTCTGGGATGTGTTGTCCTATTTTCTACGCATGCAGATGAATGATCTGATAGCAAAGGTTTACTGCAGTGCAGTATTCCCTGCTACTGCAGTACAGGTGATAAAGTTTATTGCATCCATTTGTAAACTGTTTAATTGTCCAAAACTCCATCTCTTTATCTAATAAACTTATAACAGGTTAAATATGAAATGAGGTGCAATAGCATTTTAAATTCGTTTGCAATCTTTCGAGATCTTAAATCTGGCAATCATTGATCTAACATTTTTTTGCGGATATTTTATTTTAGATGATGATTGTTGCGTACTCAAGTACTGCAGTATAACCTTGCCAGCATTGCTGTACGTCCGGTCATATCCACATTCTTGGCTGCTAGCATGTGTTTTCAAAATGAGTTAGATTTCGATTTTGTTCGACTAAAAGTTATTTTCATCATATTGCAAACAAAAGGAAAAAACATGTTTTCGCGGGGTCGTATTACTTATTATATTCCATGTGTTTTGTTGCAAGTCTTTGATGCTTTTAGCAAGATAGATATAGATATTAGATATCATTGTTGAGAATGCTATCATTACATTACTGTATCTCAAACTAGTTGTATGCTTTTTATAATGAATATCACTGAACATGATTCTAACGGTGTCATTAGAGACGCATGGCCCTTTGTGTAGTAAAACTTAAAGTAGTTTTTATAGCTATTTTTGTTGCGATGTTTTGTTCAGGCTTGCAGCTTGATTTCAGTCTTGGGAATGATTTTTTTCTCACTTTTTGGTAAGTAACGATGTTATAAGATCACTTTTTAATTCTGAAGCCAAATGAGGCAGCTTTTTTTTGCCATTGTGTTGGCCAATCATAATAAAGTATTGAATAGCAATAAAATCGTTCTCTCCCATTCACATTACAAAATAAAAAGCAGATTACGTGACGAATGTCGTAACTAGACTAATCTGTTAAACCCCCCTCCCCTCCCCCCTCCCCCCTCCCCCCTCTCTTTCCCCCTCTCCCCCTCTCCCCCTCCCTCTCCCATCTCCCTCTCCCCTCCCCCGTCTCCCCCTCCCTCTCCCCTCTCCCCTCCCCCTCCCCCTCTCCCCCCTCCCCCCTCCCCCCTCTCCCTCTCCCCTCCCCCCCTCTCCCCCCTCCCCCCTCTCCCCCTCCCTCTCCCCTCTCCCTCTCCCCTCCCCCGTCTCCCCCTCCCTCTCCCCTCTCCCCTCCCCCTCCCCCTCTCCCCCCTCCCCCCTCTCCCTCTCCCTCCCCCTACCCCTCTCCCCCCTCCCTCTCCCCCCTCCATCTCCCCTCCCCCTCCCAGTCCACCCATGAGCGGACGTGGGAAAGCTGTAATCCTTGTGCAATCTATCATTACAACTAATTAAGATATATTATAATAAACAATTCGGGAAAAACCTTTTAGCTTTTAGCTTTTAGTGCGTATAAACTTATAGAAATGGCTTTATTTTTGTGTTTGTTCCAAATGCTCGCACATTCTCATATTTACGAGATCCAGCAGGAGTCACTGAATCGTTTTACTTTGTTTTTATTTTTTACTACTTGACCTGCATAGTGCAGTATATGTTTGCTAACCAATTCCATTCCTCTAGAAACTAGAAATGTCTGTCAAGACTTCATCAGCTGCGGAGATTGTCTTCATGTCCACCCCAGTGGTAGTTGGGTGAGTTCATTTTATTTCCTATTTCATTATTTATCACTTTCATACCACAAAAAAGTTAATTTTTATATGTTTTCACTTTTATTACCTTCTGTATTAGTTTATCATACTGCAAGCCCCCCCCCCCCTATCTAGTATCTATCCTATAATACAGTAACTCACAAATCCTATGCCTGCTTATCGCGAAATCAGCTCTTTTAATGCATTTCTTCCAATGTACATTGTAATCGGTGCAGATGTATCATGGTCAGCAAATATCCACTCCAACTTGGTCAAGCTTTGAAGTGCGTCTAGATTGCTTGTCCGTATCTATTAGTTGAGACGCTTATATAGTTAAATGTACGACCTCACAATTATTTCCATGTCAACAGTGCTATTTTCAGGGGTGTGTTTGCGTCATATGTACTGTTCTGCATAGGAGGAAACAGGTCGTTACGAAACAGAATCCCAGTTAGGATTATGACGGCTGTTTTCCTGGCCCTGTCCATCAACTCTGTCTCATGGTACGTGAGCTAAATACTTGAGTCTTAAACGTTAAAGTTTAGAACGTTTAGTGAATCTGTTCTACAAAATTTTTAATTTTCAGCAAACTCTGAGTCGGCGACTCATGATACATCTAAAACTGTTTAGAAAACTTAGTAGGCAAATTACTAGGGAGGTTACTCTTACGCGCAAAATTCCTGCAATTGATAAGTTTCGTTTAATACGTGCTTAATAGCGACCTCAACTCATTCAACTTCAAGGCATCCACCAAGATTAAGAATATTAAGCACAAATATTTTCACTAGATCTGTAATATCTGAGGACAAATGCTCTTTTTTTAAAGTTCAGCCAGGTAATAAGTCCAACTTTTATAAGATAAAGTTTAACCAAGTATTCTACTCACTCCGATACTCTAGCTTTTAAAGTAGTCGAATTTAACCAAGTATTCTACTCACTCCGATACTCTAGCTTTTAAAGTAGTCGAATGTAACCAAGTATTCTACTCCGATTCACCCTCAGGTTCATCAACATAATAGTGAGCTCGAAAATCAACAATTTCACTGACTCTGCCTCCTGTCTGATAAACGCCTATGTAATGTCTACTCTGCAGTACGGTATTGTTGGTAAGTAGTATTTCTGCCGAATACGCTTCATTATTTATGGGAGCCATCTCGATAACATTACAGTATCACCAAAACTGTATTATTAAATAAATCACGCCTTTACATATAATACAGACTACAGAGCCAAGCTGCATAATATTTACCAGATAAGATAGGCATATTATCATAATTTATAACATAATTTATGTTATAAAAAACATAATTCATAACATTTAAATAGACCCTCACTTTATAATACTAAGCCTTTTGTTCACAGCGATGTTGACGTTTGTGATCGTGGACCAGTACATTGCCTGCACCATGCCCCTACAGTATCGGAGTGTAATGACCCTAAAGAAGTGTAACCGTATCATGATCCTCCTCTGGACGATAGTGTGCCTGTTCGAGCTTCCCCTCCTTATTACTATGGGTTAGTTAGCACGAGTCATGCGGTCCCAGTATCTTATATACATGATATCTAGTATTTGTTTGATCATAAGATCATAGTCTAATATTACATGTGCCTAATATGGTTCCTTTGCCCCACCAGTCACATTATTCAACATAACACGGCCATCGTTCTACCACTATTCTTACCTCTACCTCTCTCACCTGGTAACACCTGGTAACACCTGGTAACACCTGGTAACACCTGGTAACACCTGGTAACACCTGTTAACACCTGGTAACACCTGGTAACACCTGGTAACACCTGTTAACACCTGGTAACACCTGGTAACACCTGATAACACCGTTAACACCTGGTAACACCTGGTAACACCTGGTAACACCTGGTAACACCTGGTAACACCTGGTAACACCTGGTAACACCTGGTAACACATGGTAACACCTGGTAACACCTGGTAACACCTGGTAACACCTGGTAACACCGTTAACACCGTTAACACCTGGTAACACCTGGTAACACCTGGTAACACCTGGTAACACCTGGTAACACCTGGTAACACCTGGTAACACCTGGTAACACCTGGTAACACCTGGTAACACCTGGTAACACCTTGTAACACCTTGTAATACCTTTTAATACCTGGTAACAAATGGTAACACCTGATAACACCTGGTAACACCTTGTAACACTAACATTAACTAAACTCTAACCTTCAGGTGGAGCAAAAGATAAGGGACCGTCTTATTTCGACCTTATCGGAGTGTGTTATTCGTCCTACGTTAACTTCGACATCTCTGGGAACTACATGGTGTACATGTGCTGGTCTCTCTTGGAGGTTACTGTCTCTTCTAGTTCTTAACATTCTTCTTCTCAGTTTTACTTCTTATCAAGTGTTTAATACTGCACTTGTCCTAGAGCCGTCAATTAAAGAATTTAGGTGCAACTTCTGATGTAATGCCGTGTGGTACAAAGTATTGTATAATCGTTCATTGAGTAGGTCTATGACTCTTTCATAACTTTGTAACTAGGGTCTTCTTTGAATACCTGGAATTTCTGTATAACAGAGGCACCAGGGTCTGAGGTGAAGTCATATAACCCAATACTTTTAAAAATATTAACTCACCTGCTCGACACTCAGCAATCGGTCAAATGAATGCCCTAAATTGTGCACAACAAAACAAATATGTGACTTATATTTCATTTCAGCTGACGGTGGTGTACGTTGTGCCGATATACGTTATGGTCCACCTGTCATATAACTCTTATCGAGTGATGAACCACAGGAAAAGAGCGAGCATGTTCAGTCAGAAGGTAACTTGAAATATTGTAAACAATTAACCCATCTTGGATTCATTCTATCTACCCCACTCCATCTACCCCACTCCATCTACCCCACTCCATCTACCCCACTCCATGTATCCCACTCCATCTACCCCACTCCATCTACCCCACTCCATCAACAACACTCCATCTACCCCACTCCATCTACCCTACTCCATCAACCCCACTCCATCTACCCCACTCCATGTACCTCACTCCATCTACGCCACTCCATCTACCCCACTCCATCTACCCCACTCCATCTACCCCACTCCATCTACCCCACTCCATCTACCCCACTCCATCTACCCCACTCCATCTACCCCACTCCATCAACCCCACTCCATCTACCCCACTCCATCTACCCCACTCCATCTACCCCACTCCATCTATTCCACTCTATATCTAAATATGACATTCTAATTTTGTAATCCTTCATCTTATTAACTACTATATTTAATATTTATGTTCGACATAATTCCGGTGACCTAAATGATTTGGGAACGAAAATATGGGAATGATTTCCAAAAACCGTCACATTTCGTACCCCAAATTAAATCATGGTATTTGGGGATTATTTTCATCTCCTTATTTTACAAAAATGCAACCCAATATTTGATATAATTGAATACAAAGATCTTCTCTGATCAGCTGTTTCATCTTGTAAACAACCTTCCGGAGCCTTTGAAAGTTAGCCTCAACTTAACTTATAATCCTCCAGAGGGTATAGAAAACCGACAGTGTTTGTCATCTTCCTTTACTCTCGAAATTTCACCGCCGTGGCCAATAAAGTAGTGATAGAGCTTGCCTATTTTTAATGGAACGTGTCCAAAATCATTTTTAAAGCAATTCATGATCGAATACTAGTGTTCATTAATTGTTTGATGAATCATATTTATAACTCACTATATTGATAAGTTGATAGTAAATCGATAAAGTCATGATTAAGGAAAATACGTGAAAAATAATTTGATGAAAATAATGATGGTGACCTAAATTTTGGTAGTCCGAAAATATGGTGTTTTTTAAAGAAAAACCACCGACTTTCGTACCATTTAAATATGCATCTCGAAAGGTAACTGCTCATAGCTCCATTGAGAAAGCTTTCCAGTACTACTAACGTCTAGTACTTCGTTCCGATAGAGAACTTTCATTAGCCCAGGAAGGCAATCATCCTAATGAGATTATAAACCGAACCTAATGAAGCCACGTTTTAGGATGCGCAAACACAATCTATATATAATATATAATATCGTGTCCAAAAGCATCATATATAATATATCACGAGGTTTAATAGAACGTTATAAACTAAGGTGTGTCGAACTTCGAAATCGTATATTATATAATATGTTTATAAACATATATAAAATACTTAACAGATTAAACAGATTAAACAGATTAAACAGATTAAACAGATTAAACAGATTAAACAGATTAAACAGATTAAACAGATTAAACAGATTAAACAGATTAAACAGATTAAACAGATTAAACAGATTAAACAGATTAAACAGATTAAACAGATTAAACAGATTAAACAGATTAGACAGATTAAACAGATTAAACAGATTAAACAGATTAAACAGATTAAACAGATTAAACAGATTAAACAGATTAAACAGATTAAACAGATTAAACAGATTAAACAGATTAAACAGATTAAACAGATTAAACAGATTAAACAGATTAAACAGATTAGACAGATTAAACAGATTAAACAGATTAAACAGATTAAACAGATTAAACAGATTAAACAGATTAAACAGATTAAACAGATTAAACAGATTAAACAGACTAAACAGATTAAACAGATTAAACAGATTAAACAGATTAAACAGATTAAACAGATTAAACAGATTAAACAGATTAAACAGATTAAACAGATTAAACAGATTAAACAGATTAAACAGATTAAACAGATTAAACAGATTAAACAGATTAAACAGATTAAACAGATTAAACAGATTAAACAGATTAAACAGATTAGACAGATTAAACAGATTAAACAGATTGAACAGATTAAACAGATTAAACAGATTAAACAGACTAAACAGATTAAACAGATTAAACAGATTAAACAGATTAAACAGATTAAACAGATTAAACAGATTAAACAGATTAAACAGATTAAACAGATTAAACAGATTAAACAGATTAAACAGATTAAACAGATTAAACAGATTAAACAGATTAAACAGATTAAACAGATTAAACAGATTAAACAGATTAAACAGATTAAACCATCGATGGTAAATACGTCAAAAAATCGCCTGTAAATACGCCGTATTCAAAAATTCTAAGAAATACGTGAAATACGGCAAAATTTGGCGCTTAAATTCTTTGATGGTAAAATTTTTCAAAATACGCGCGTATCTCTTTCGAAATACGTGATTACAGATTAGTGATATTTGCGCGTGCGTCGCTGGCCCAGTGGTATATTAATATAGCAATACTGACAGTCGTTTTGGAGACTTCACGGTGCTCGAATGAAAACGCTGCAGCGACTTGCTATTCTTATGCTGAACCAACCAATCAGTTAGTCTGCTGCAGAGCAGAGCTTCTCAGGTTATAAAGCAGTTATGCCTCCCTCGAGGAATAGACTTTCAACCGAGACCCAGTTCCAGTGCATTTTTATCTATTACAATATTCGCAGACTAAGATCACAAGTCTCTCTTGCTTGAATTTTGAAACCGGTTACCGGATTAACACGGACTTCCCAGTGGCATAAGTTTAAAAAGTGACTAGGAATCCAGCCTGGAAAGAAAAAACGGCTATAATAAACTTTTAAAACGGCTATAATAAATTTTTCGGCCGGATGACGATTTCATTTCACCTTGCTAGTTATATTACAGAGGTATTTTTAGTTATTCATTAGTTATTCATAATTGCCAAAAAGTATGGGAAAAATTATCCTATCCGAGTCTCGAACTCGCAATCTGCTGATTTGGAGCTAGCGTATTAACCAATTAGGCCACGATTCCATATACTGTGATGTAATATTTATATATAGATCTTCGCGCGTTACTGCAACTTAATTTGAAATACGTAATTTATCATCGGGAAATACGTATGCGTAGTACCTACGCGTAGTCTCCCCAAAACGCATTTACCATCCTTGGATTAAACATAGCTAACACAGCCAACATCTTACTATATATAAAGCGAGACGATACGGGTTCCTGCTAGTAGCTAACATAGCTAACATAGCTAACGTATAGCTAAGGTATAGCTTACGTATAGCTAACGTAGCTAGTTTAAACTCATTACAGCACTACAAATCTATTACATTTATTGAGAATTATGTAATGTAACGTGATGGAAATATTTTAAACGGGCATATCCTGTCCAAACCCAGGATGCACTACATGAAGAATTCGTTGTAACTTTGTTTGAAAAACATTAATAGCTAACATAGCTAACCTATAGCTAACATAGCTAACATAGCTAACATATAGCTAACATAGCTAACATAGCTAACAGAGCTAAAATAGCTCACATATTTATTACTTAACATACTTTTAACTTTACTAATTTTCCACCTTCAGGCAG